AATTCAAAGTAGAAGAAGTTTTAGACTCAAAGCAGTGCCAAAATAAATTAAAATATCTTATCCATTGGCATGGATATGATATTAGTGAATACACATGGAAGTCAGTAAAGAATCTTATAAGTGCAACAAAGGCAGTGGAGGCTTTTCATTGATGACATCCATCTAAATCAAGATGAAGAATAGTAAGTCTTTGCTATGAAAGAAACAAGGTCCTGGGAAGATTGTATTCTACCTTTTAATTTTTTTATAGCTTCTGTGTATTTGTGACAGAAAAGAGATGGAGAACCAACAACCAACAGATTCAACTCAAGAGCTTTCATTTGCAAACTTACTAGATGAGATATTGCAATTGTCACAACCTTTAAGACAACAAAATTAAGATAAAGATCTTTAAAAATAACATGTCCTTCCTTGAATAAACGATGAGATACAACGTATTTGGTATCATGACCTTTGAAGAGACTCTCAATGTTTGGTGATTTTATTAGAGGTAGGAAAAATTATTGATGATGTTCTAAATGTTTTATTTGAAGGAAGTTACAAAGGCCTCAACAATGACCAAATAATAGGATAGTTTTTTCACCCTGATATAGGACATTATCAATGGCTGAGAAGGCCTATCAATTATCTTCGAGGTAAACAAAAATCAAAGTATATGACAAATATAACAAACCACATCTTGGATTTCTATAACATATGAAGACTGCTCCTCATAGAACTTATCCCTAGAAAGGAGGATAATGTCACGGACATATACATGTAAATGAATAATTACCTATAAGATTTAGATAATAATAGATAAAAGTAAGTTAATTCCATAATATCTTCTATACAAGCTTCATAGAAGCTTAATAGATGCTGCTTTGACTTTATATGTGTTTATAATTGACTTTTTAGGTTAAAAATGTAGTCAACAAGTTGGCCATGTACCACACATGTTAGTAGCTTGAAGAAGAAGCTAACTATGTGGCCCATACGTAGAAAACTTGCCTTCTAAGCTAAGGCATAAATCCTGCAAAGTCAACACATATTAAGGGTCCTATAGAACATCACTACGTAGCTCCTAGTTAAATAATATATATAGAAGTAAGAGTGAAGATGTCTTCACTCTTGTCAATTTCTTTCTTGCTTCTAGTCTAGATTTAAGAGTCTCTAATTTCCTTGTAATTTGGCATTAGCCATTTAAGTTTCTTTTTAATATACATAATACTTTATTTCTATTTTGCCACTTTTCTTTTGATATAGATTTCCCAAGTTTATGCATCTTCTTCCAGTTTATGTCCTTGACAACTTTTTGGCCAAGTTTCCAACCTATCAATTAATTACAAATACATATAAAGTTAAATTTGCTTTTATAAAGCTTCAAATAAAATTTTCCATAAGATATTATTAAATCTATCTAAATTTAATTTTTACCTCATATTTATTATTTATATAAATATTATATATGTCAAATTTTTAAATTAAAATTACAATAAAAAATGAGACAACCAAATATTAGAAATTAAATTATAAGAAAAATTAAGATTATATTACAAAAATGAAATAGGGCCAATGCAACATTAAATATTTGTAGTGGTGTTGATGAGGTATTACATGAATGGTTTGAATCTCTACATTCTTTTTAATCTTATTAAACTATGAAATTATAATTTTAAAAATATATTTTTTTATTAAAAATAGAAGTTGGAGACATAATTTGTAATTTTTAATTTTTTTAAGATAATAAATAAATAAAAATACTAACATTTTTTACCTTATAACAGAATTGACGACTTACATCTCCTAAAAAAGAAGAATGCAAATACAACTAAATATTTCTTCTCAAATTGTTTTATTTATCTTTTAATGAACATTCTCTTAATTTTTTTTATTTATAAAATTTTTTAAAAAATATTTTCTGTCTTATTTACTAAATTTAAATAATACCATCAAATATTGAGATTTGTTTTGGAGTATGTTTTTAGAAAGGAAATTGTCAAGAATTTTATTAATAAAAAAAATTAAATTAAATTTTAACTACATGTAAGAAGTGGAAAGAAAAATAATTATTATATTTGATGCACTGATATCATAAATATCAGTTATAAATGCAAAAATATTTAATATATATATATATATATATATAATTTATTTATATTTATAAAAAATATTAATGAAACTTAAATATCTAGCTTTAATCGAATGTTAATTTTACAACAAATACATTGATTTACAGCCTGTTATAAAGCTCATAAATAAAATTTAAGATTCAATGATAAAAGAAAATAATCTTATACCATATAAATTAAACTATACTAAGAAGTATAAATAAATATATTTTAAATTAAAATAAATAAAATAATAATTGTATCAACATCCTTTAGTTAGTAGCAGAAGCGATCAAAAATATTCTGTAATTAAACCAATGCTTGCTAAGCAATGTTGGTTTTAAAAGTAGTAAAATAATAATCTATTGTTTAAAAACTGAAAGTAATGCTAATTCAACTACAATCAATTTATTTTAAATTGGATAATTTACTTTAAAATAGACTTAATTTTTTTATAATATTATATCTTTTCTTAGTTAAAATAAAAAATTTAGACCTAAATGGTGTTGTAAATAGAAATTCAATCTAATAAAAATATATCCTTAAGTTTTTTCCTTTAAAACATACATTTAAAAACACACACATACACATACATACATACATACATACATACATACATTCTTGAAAAATTAATACATATTAATTTATCAAATTAATACATATTTGTATCTCTATTTAGTATGAAGATACATATCTCTATTAAATTTGTGAAATTCACCATTTGTGACCAACAACTATTTTCCAAATTAGATGCATCTCTCCCCTTAGTTTTCAAAAAAATCAAAATCAAAATCAATCAACCAGACAAACAAACAAACAAACAAATCTTCAAATTGATGTGTCCTACGTTGGTTGCACAGCCAATAGAAAGCCACATCTTGTCCACCTATGGACCCACCAATGGTGACGTCACCTAAGCGAAGCACCTTCTAGAAGCATCAACGAGGGGAACGTGTTCCCCTCGTTGATGAGTCTAGAAGAAGAAGAAGAAGAAGGAGATCCTGGCGGATGAATCCATGGGAACCGACTGCTTCGGTCGGCTCCATCCACGCAAATGGAAAGATATGGATGAATGAATACACAGTTGGTTTTTGTTATCTGTTCGTTCACACGGGGTATTCTTACAGATCGATTTGGATGAACGTCAAAATCGAATTCCTCCAAACATCGTACCGTGTATTGTTTACTATAGGTACAAGGCTTAAAGGCCCATTAAAAATATGTATATATATATACAATAATCACTATAACTTAGATCCATTCATTAGTTTCAATTAATTTTGACATGACCTCCTGTATCTGCTTCTTGAGGATAAGAAAATTCACTTCAATTCAAATAGGATGCCAATATTAAAGTCTGATTACAGCCTCTCCATCAGATGCTTCCAGTCTTAAATTGTAGTTTGAATGTTTATTTGAATGTATGTTTCCCTCTTAAGGAACTCACGTGCTACACCAAACTTATATATTCCCAAAGTAAACTTATATAAACTTATATTCCCAAAGTAAACTTATATATTCACAAAGTAATTGTAAATCTATCTAAGGTGTCAAATTTTCTTATTGTATTTTCATTCATCCAACAAGTTTTTTTTGTTTGTTTGTTTGTTTGTGTTTATTTTAAAACCTTTCTTGAAGTGTTTTGTAACATTTCTGCTATGTAAAGAAATTATCATAGCTTTTCATTCTATTTATGGATTCAATGCATACAAAACTGTGAAATTATGATTTTGATAAGTAAAAGTTTGATGAATGGTTAAATATTATTTACCAAAACTGCTTTCTGTTTATCCTTTCATACGGCTTTAAACATTGTAAGAATATGCTGTCAATATAGAACTTCATCTTTAGCAAGCCTGAATAATATATTGTGTTTTCTACCAATAGAAAAAAGAAAAAATATTCATTATACATGAGTTCATTTATTTAGTGAAGTATGAAAAATAATATAAATATTCTGGGTATTTTAATGAAACACATACCATGTGTTATTAATGATTATCAAATCATTGCTATTATCAGTTGTAGCATATGTACATATAAAGTGTATGTTCAATACCACCACAATTTTTGTTATTGCCACCACAATTTGCCATCCTCTACATGTCATTATAGTTTTTGCTAATATTATCACAAGTTCCTCTAAACTTGTGTTGTATACCACAAATCATTTTATGGAACATTGTGAATGAACAAACAATAAAATATATTTTTTAAATCCTTTTGAGTGACATTGAAAAAAACAACATGATTCAAAATCCTTTTTTGAAAGACTCCAAAATAAAATCTTGGATTGTCTTCTACTTTACTTAAAATTAAAATAAAGTCACAGCTTGGAATTTGTTCAGTTGTTTCAAAATTTGGACAGCGAGAAGTGCAAAAAGTACTGAAATGTAACGAAAATACAATAATAGTTCTTCTCACTTCAGTGAATCACAATGAGCTTAGCAAAAAGTCACAAAATTATCTGTAATTATTAGTAAACACTTCATCCATGCAAACCATCAAAGCCTTATGAGCCAAAGAAACAGCTGTGATCAAATAAAATTATCGTAAGCCCCAATTAAAAATGACAAATTCCAACACAATAATGTCATTTCCCTGCCTACTAGACACCATATCATGATATCTAAATTTTGAACCAAAACTGTAGGATCACAATAGTCAATGGTGGAACCACAACAATTAAGTAATGAAATGATGTGAAAAACCTCACACGCTTTCACTTACAGAAGCACATGATAAGGTTTAATATACAACTACCGAAATTGAGGTAAATTGAGCAACCACAACAAACAAAATTGTGGAGGCAGTTGACTGGGTTTTGTGCGATGGCGTTGCAGTTTCAGAACTGGAGCGTGAGAATTTAAGAGGTGAGGGTGGCGTTCATATGGCAGGGGCCTTCAAAGCTTACCCAAACGTGGCATGGAGATGTCGCTCACAGCCCTCACTGCAAGCTTGCCTTGCCACATGATGGAGCCTGCAGGCCCACATTTGCCGGGGGATATGTAGATTTGGGGTGACAGCGATAGAATTGCTACAGAACTGGGTGCGAGTGTGCATTTGGAGCTTCATTGTGGGTCAAATTCTCTTTAAAAGCCAGAGTTGGGATCAGTGTGGTGAAGGACAGGAAACAGGCCACATGCGTAACCTCAGGAGTTAACTTGATTTTGGCTACCGCTGAGCCTACTCTCATGCTTTCAGTAGAGGTCGCAGAGGTAATCATCTTCACAGCCCATAACCTCGCTCAATGATGTTGGGCATCTCCCCACTCAGCTGAAGTGGTGTTTTTCCAGTTTTGAGCTGTGACGACGACCTGGGCTGCATTGCCTTCTTTGGACTGTCTTGGATGCGTAGAGGGTACGAGAGTTGCAGAGTTGGGCTGTGGTTTGAGGTAGTGTGACGAGGGTGTTTTGCCCTCGTGATGTCAGCAATGGCAACTGGTGCGTGTTGCAGCTCATGAGGTTTCTGACCTGCAGGTTACGGAGTGGAGCTTGCTGGTTCAGCTCTCTCTCTCTCCCCCTGACCTCAGCGGGTTGTCTCCTCATTTTGTTTAGTGTGTGCAGCTTGTCCTCCTCTTCCCAAGTTATTGAGATATGTCCTAGAGGCGATCGAAGCTGCCCGAGAGTTAATCATCAAGCCCCCATTCGTGCCCCCATTCGTGTACTGCTCAAGACTTTGTAGCCGTGTAGGTGCCCGTCTCGGATTTCTCGGTCAGCCATCGTTGAACCCCTACCGTCTGCTCTCCTCAACTTCTGTTGAAAGGTGTTAAAGTGAGTTAACATCCCGTTTCTGTGGTGGTGCTGTTATGCATTGTTGAGCGAAGTTGCACTAGCATATTGCCTCAAGAGGAACCCAACTGGTCCGTACACAAGTTACTCTTTGATGTTCGTTTGACGATGAGAGGATCAATCTTTCTGAACGACGTGGATTCTTTGCCAAGACTCCGGGTTTGCGTTTATCCTTGCTCCTCTTTGAAGTCCTCGAAAGGTTCATCTCAGCATTTTGGGATGTCCTCTTCTTTTTCAATTTTTTTTGAAATCCAATTTCAGGGGATTTTTCATTCTTTGGAGAAGGCGAAAAAGGCCGCCATGGAACTTGTCATCACCATATTACTCTAGCAGAGGCGAATCAATGCGAATGAAGGGCTTAGGAACGCCGCAGAGAATAGTTTCACAACTTCCATCGCCCTCGGTGGTGCTGTTTGTCACGTTGGATCGGATGGTTAGGTCTTTTCAAGTTGCTGATATAACTCTTGGACAGTGTGCTGACATTTGTGGGACATTTGAGTGCAGATCATAAGCCATGTCGTAAAACGAATCCACATCGTTCAGAAAGATTATTTTTACCGTTTCGATCAAGCTGGCAGGTGTGGCTTCCTCCAGCTTCGATCTGTGTTAACAGAAGCTACAAGAGTACTGATCATGTCCCTCCAAAGATCCTAGACTTATAGATGAGCAGTGAGTGCTATCGGTCCAAGATTTGCAGCCATGTCAGAAGCGAATGTCAAGTTGGTTGGGGTTGTGTGGAGATGGTGGACGCCCCATGTGATGTGTGTGATTTGGACCATGGCTATGAATATGATAACCGTGCTCGGGCAAGGCACTGGGTCTCTAACCGGGGCTGTAACCTTTCTGGAAAATTATGAAAGTCAATCAGATTCGCAACATTTTCGGATTCTTAACGATGGCCACCAAGTGCAGCTCGTGTTGGATGAATATGCAGGTACTTGGCAAAGTGTATCCACCAATTTTCCAAAACTAACTTCAAGAAGGCTGCCGATTGTTTTCAATCTTGAAACATGTCGATGATCAGGAATGCTGACGTTGTTCTCCTGAGCTGACCAATTGATCGTTAATTACACGTGCAGCTTCTGGATTTGGCTCCAAGTACCAGTATTTATTTGGCAAGATTGGGATGCGCATGAAACTGGTTCCTGGAAATTCTGCTGGCACCGTGACAGCATATTATGTAATCCTCCAACCTTATCACAGAAGCTCGAATTATTACTTGCAGGCCATAAGATTGTCATGTATGCAATACAGTTTGGTTTTTCTATTAGCAACCATTATCTGAGAAGGCTCTTTTCGTGCCTGGGCTAATGCTATGGTTTATGAGATTTTGATGATGTGCGATTCCTCCCTGGTTGCAGATGTCATCACAGACTCCGGGATTACACGATGAAATGGATTTCGAGTTCCTTGGAAACGTGACCGGGCAGCCTTACATCCTGCAAACTAATATTTATGCAAATGGTGAAGGGAAGCGGGAGCAGCGCATTTACCTATGGTTTGACCCCACTTCAGACTTCCATTCGTACTCTGTCTTGTGGAATACACAGCAGATAGTGTGAGCACTCAACGTCACCTCTTATCGGACTTCGTTTCATCTTTATTTTCTGATAGTTGCAATTTCGACCACAACACAAACTCCGAGCAGCCAGATTATTTTCCTTCAATATAAATTACTGTAATTTCAACCTTCTAGGAAGCTGAGGTGGGCAGTCGACATATTGTCAATCTCGAATCATCTCGCGCGTGCTCGTGACTCACATTGCAGGTTCTATGTGGACAACACACCCATCCGAGTGTTCAAAAACAACAAGGACATAGGAGTTCCATACCCTGACTCCAAGCCGGTGGGGATCTACAGCACAATCTGGAACGGAGAGAACTGGGCTACAAACGACGGCTGGGTGAAGCTGAACTGGACCTACGCTCCTTTCGTCGCCACCTACGAGTCCTTCAACGTCGACGCCTGCCGTGTTGACAACGGCGACACTGCCAGCTGCATGGCCCAAACCAGCAGCTGGTGGATGTCGTCGGAGTACCAAACCTTGGGAGCTTATCAAGTGAACCAGCTCGAATGGGTTCGGAACAACTACCTTCTCTACGACTACTGTGCAGACCGCAAGCGATCACCAGCTCCACCACCCGAATGTGCTCGAAATCCATTGTAGAAGTCTACTAACCAGAGTCTGTAGCTGCTCATTGTCCTCCATTCATGAAGCTTCTCTTGTACCCACATGTGAGAGCAGGGCGATTCAAAACCCATTCCACGACTCCAAGCATCAAGTCCACATCTTAGCTGGCTAGGGGAATGAAGTGAGCAGGTTATCTCCAATGAGTTGGTTTGTGTCGATTTGAGAGCTCGTGGCGTTGAATGAGTTTACATATATCTTCCATTGGATTGATTGTTTATTTTTTTTATTTTTTTGTCTGGGCGATTCCATTGTATATGCTGTCGTTCTAGCAACTAAGCTATTGTAGATCGAGTTCTGATTTTGCAGACTTCTCCAATGGTTGTGAATTCTTATTGTGAGCTTATAAAGCCCGTTTGGTGGATCGAAGCTCTGCATCAAGCGTTAACAGACTAAAATTTGAGTTCATTGACTCTCCGAAAACCCTTGAATTTGTTAACTATTGAAAAACATGATTGCTTGTTGCATCTAACGAGCAATTTGATATTGTTACACTGCAATTTGGTTTGTGAAAATGTTTGTTTTCTGGAGAAAGAATAGTAGAAGTATGTGCAGCGAATAATGAACAAGACAGATACGACGTGGTTTTGTTAAAAATACAACAAATCCTTTCAGTTGTATTACACTAAACAAAATCACTTTTCAATGTTATTGCCAACAACATCGAAGCTACAATAAGGGTCCAACATTAAAGTACATATAAACATAAAAAAAATAGATATGTATATATGTGTATATATGTATATACACTATCTACAATGTTTCTATTACCAACCCTAATTTTTGTTGTTGGCACTTCAACATGCTATCTACTGGTTATTATAGTTTTGGCTATTATAATGTTAATTTATTATAAATTGGAGGTATATGCTAGAAGTCACTCTTTCAACAAGCATTGTTACTAAACTTTAGTTGTGTTTTTCTATGATACTTAATTGCTCCTTTAACAATTTTTTATAAAGAGAGGTAGATGGATCACTTACAATAAGGAAATATGAAAAGAATGGCAATATCAGTATTTTAAAAAATTACACCAGATTATAAATTACCATACATTTCAATTCATTATAAAATCATCATTTAATTTTTTTATGTTAATATTGCATAAAAAAACATTGAGATTTTTGTTATTTGGAACTTTGCTTTATACACCTTTAAGGAGGTTATTGCTTCCTTTCAACCTCTATACTAAACCAACTGCATAAATTGATCTAAGTTTTTAACACAAATATATTTAAACATATAACTTGGCTCTATATGCTCAATAGCTCCATATCTAAGAAGATTTACGTTGCAATAAGAATATATTTGTTTATTATTGCAAAAGGCACTACATTGCCCACATCTCTATATTTGGTGTATAGCATGTTTGAAGCCAAATATGTCACAATTTGTAGTCAACTTTATCTTCTTTTGGCATATGTGGATTGGCCCTTTAATTATAATAAAAGTGGATTTATAAGAGTTGACATATGCCTTACTTGAAGTTACAAAATTTACTTACATTCAATGGCATATTGCATAAGAAACTAATCAAGGTATTAATATTCAAGCAAGAAAATATCGTGGTAAAATTCTTGAATATCATTGCTTATATTGTTGGACACTACTTATAACAAAGAAGCATCATGCAGATACATATACAAATAAATAACATTGATTGAGATGGCTACATTTTACAAAATAGCTATTGTCTAAGCATCTAATAAGTCTATTATTTGTTTAAAGGTATCCATTTATACTAGAATTAATAGATTAAAAAAACCAATGGCTACTTTTGAATGTAAAATAACTTCAATGCATAATGCAATACATATCCCATAAGTCCAATAAAAAGCAACTTTCATAGTATTTACAATACAATTAGATATTTTTAAGCTATACCTAATATAAACTAAATACATTGATGGATAGGTATGTGGGTAATATTTTCTTGTACAATATACAAGTGTCAATGGATACTTAGAAAAAATATTGAGCATTAAATTTACTTCTTCTATACATGATATTATAATGTTTTTAAGATAGAAGCAAATGTCAATTCATGTACCTATAAACTTATTTTTAATAAAAGCTATTTTTTAAAAATATAACTTAGAATTTTTAAAACATCTATAAATTAAAAATAAAATACTTTCCATAGCTTAACAAATTGTATTGGTATATCTATGTAACATATGATTGTCCATGTCTTCATTAACACCTCATACTATTCTCAATTGTGGATAAGTATCTTGATTTTTGTTAGTATATTTTTGTCAATATATCATTAGCAAATTAGGTCACAAAAATTAAGAAGAAGAGTTGAAATAGCATTGGTTAGTATTAAGTTACCATTTGTGACCAAGACTTTTAATGCTTAGCTATAAAAAATAAATCCTTGATTTACATGAAAGTTCACATGTACCTAGCATGAATATCTTTTTTAATAAAAGTTGTGTTGTTCTTGTTGTGTTCAAACTTTAATATACTAAAGCAATTGAACTAATAGAGGTGGATTCGAATACGGGAAAAGATTGGTTATATAAATTGGATCTGTTAGTGTCACAATTGATTGTACTCTAACTATTTGAAATCAATTATCAAACTACAAAACACCAAGGCTTACTACTTCCATCTTAATTCAACACATAATCTATTCTACGACTATCAATTCAACAATACTTCCATATTCTTATTAGTTCATCTTCTACTTACTCTCTTTGTGGTTTATATATATTCAATTATTGATCTCCAACTTACTTATTATATTCAGTTTCTCAATTCATCACACAGAATTCAATATCTTCACATAATACAATACAATTTGATAATCTCAATTCTCAAGGTCATAGATTTTCTCCAAAACGGCCAATCCAAAGTCATATTCCATAATATTCTAATCACAATTCTTTATGAGAAAATAATAAAAGTAAAGAAAACAAAGAGATAGCACCAAGCTTATCTCGGCTTACGACTATCACAATTTGGCCCTGATCTCCCTTTCTTAATCTCTTTATCCTACCAAAAGATGGACCGTTGGCCAGCTGATTCCAAAGGTTATGAATCTTTGAATTCTTAACTATTTGTTGTACTAACAACCTACTCTTACCAACTAAACTGCCTAGCCATAAGTCTAATTCTTAAGGTTATCAATAACCAACCAGTAACTTATCACAAAATTTATTTACATATTCTACATAGTTCCACTCCTAATTGTGCAATGCCTTCACAAACATTATTTAGCGTCAACTTATAAAGACGTAGCAGCGTTGGCTTCTTTAGTCAATGGTGTTGGCTTACCACCTTTTGAATTGGCGACTTCCTCCTCTACTACATCTTCGTCGTCTGACTTGGTGTTCGAGGGTTCTCCATCTAAACGCGCTGTCAGATCTTCATTCAATAAATCCAATTCACGTATCTGAGACTCAAGAAGGACAATTTGGTTATCGCGCTCCTCCAACATCTTCTGCCATTCTTCTGTCGATTTCAAAGGTATCTCCAAAGGTGTTGTCGCTGAAACTGACATATTGGTCTACACTAAATTATTCACATCCTTCTCTAATATGGCTAGTTTAGTCTATAACATCGCAACCTCTACTTGGAGCCGCTCTTGCCGTTCCTTCCAATCAGTCTCTATCTTTGCTTTCTCAGACACCATGTTCGCCACCTTCTCCTTTTCCACCATCTACTTCTCTTTAACCCTAACCTCTACCAGTGCAACGTCAATTGGTGGTAAGTTTTGCGAAATGCACAAAAATCCATGCATATGTGTTCTTCAAAAAACTTGCTACTTCTCCTTAGTCCAACAAACATCCAATCAGATCGGCTCCATATTAGTCACAATTATACACTCCAATGGTGGCAACTCATCCTTGTACCTTATATTGCGTTGTTTCTCCTCCCTATTCAACTGCCTCTTAGTCTTCTCAATCGCCATTGTATTCTAATATAAGCAAGCACTTACAACTAATCTCTCAAAATATACATACACGGTTGCTTACACAAAAGAAAACACGATGCTTGTCAAGAGCCCCCCTCCTACTTCTTACTATGGTCTAATCAATTGGATTGACTCCCCCTTATTTCCCACAATTTGTCATGATGAAATACCCTACTAACTAGGTCTGACAACTAATCTTTACTACCGCCGTCACTAATCCCATCTATATTCCTCACACTTCTTATCACCTTATATTTACTATCCTATCATCATTATTATTTATCCCCTCTCCTCCCCCCCCCCCCCTTTTATAACAGAAAATCCGTCTCAGATTTATGTATAGTAAAGTTTAAGCTGATTGCCATTGATCTATGTCATAAATTTAGTATCCATAAAATCTTCCAATTACACTGAACCATTTGAAAATCTGTTAATAACTCGATATGGTCCATGCCATTCAACTTGAAATTTTCCTAGAATTTTTTTAAATCAACTATCATAAAGAAGTATCAAATGATCTGGCATAAAAGCCTTTGGTCTAAGCTTACTATCATAATAAGTCTTCCTTCTTTTTTTGTGTAGTTTCCATTATCATTAATGCATTGGCTCTAGTTTCATCTAATTTTTTCAATTCTTCTAAACAGTTCAATAATGAATTATGATCTCTCAATCTATTATCTATAGCAATTTGTAAACTTTGGACTTCCAATTCAATAGGTAATATTGCTTCCTTGCCATAAATCAATTGAAAAGGGGTAGCATTGGTAGTAACTTTATATGCAATATGATATGCCTATAAAGCTACGAACAACTTAGTGTCCCAATCTATTCCCGCTCCTGAAACTATTTTTGTTAAGATTTTACATAAAATTCTATTAGTCTTTTCCATTTGTTTATTGGCTCTAGGGTGATACAGTGTAGTCTTATGATATTTTATCTCATATTTAGCCATAAGTGCTTCGATTTTATTATTTACAAAATGAGTTCCTTGATCACTGACCAATTCTTGTGGACAACCAAACTATGTAATAATATTTTTATACAAAAAGATTGCTACTGTATTTGCACTATCGGTTTTTGTAGCTATGGCTTCAGTCCATTTTGTTACGTAATTCGTTGCTACTAATATATACTGTTTTTGTCCATTTCTCGAGGCTGGTGCAATTGGTCCCACAAAATCAATTCTCCATTTTTCAAAAGATACTTCAGCCAGAATTGGTACCAATGGCATTGCTGAAGTTCCAGTAGATCGACCCATTCTCTGACATGGATAATAATGACGGACAAATTGGTCGGCATCTACAAATATTGTTAGCCACCAATAACCAGCCTGTAAAGCTTTACGAGCCGTGCTGCCCACCACAACTATCCAAGTGGCAACCTTCCAATATAGTACTCACTTCAGTCTGATAAATACAGTGTCACAAAACTCCATCCTTGCCTTGTTTATATAAAGCTTCACGAATCATCATATAAGGTGTATATT